AGTGTGGGGCCCCATGAGATGCCCCTGGTACCTTTTTCATAGACTTTTTTGAGTTTGGGCAAGGACACAGGGGCTCCATGATCCCCTATTGCCTGGGGGCCTCATGAGTTGTTAGTCCACCCCTGTATGTAACTGCAACTAATCTGAAGTAAAACAAAATCAAAAGTTACATGTATGATGCCTTCTGTCACTAGAATTAACACAGCAGTTTTCTTTTTTCTGATAGTCTCTTTTGTAACCTTGTATGTGTATTACCTGTTGATCCTGCCAGTAGACCTGTCATGGAGACAGGATGAGTGTCAAGCAAACATGCTAGGAATATAACATTTTGGCTGCTCTTGGTGACTACCTTCCTTTTCAAATGACTAGTTTTCTGGTTGCAGAGTGACCCAGGATAGGTAAACAGCAAATGAATCCTTAAGGGCTGGTTCACCCCATAGAAACGCAGTCAAGATGCATTTCTGCATGTGTGTTTTTGATGCATTCCAGTGTGTTTTTTATGCATTCCAGTTCATTTTTCTTTTTCTTCAATTTATATAGGGACATGTGCGTTACAGTGCGTTCCGGTGCGTTTTTGATGCGTTTTCAGCATGTTTTACTTTTGTTTCTGCAACCGTAACACACTGGAACTGTAAGCACTGATGGGAACTATGACATTGACAACCATATAACCTACTTTCTGTGCATTTTGGATGCAGTAAAAAAAGCTACTGAAACGCATGTAATGTGAACTGACCCTAACTCGTGACTTCCATCCTTGCTCCCACTCAGAGGTTAAAGATAGTGAATCAGCATATTAGTTTAGTATGCTAGCCTGTCATGAGAGACACAGCTATGTGCGTCTCTCATGACCGATTCCTATTAAGGATGATTTAGGCTCCATCTACATTTGTCCGACTTCAAAATTCTGCGATATTCATTGCAACTTTACAGTGTGACTTGATACGAATTTGAAGCGACTTGTATGAGTGCGACTTTGGCTTTGACCAAGGATGATTATTTGTGCCCTACAAAATTGCACACATGTTGCACACAAGTCACATGTATATTATTCAAGTGCGACTTTCATGTGACTTTGGAGGGATTACATTGAAGTATATGGCCCTCAAGTCGCATGAAAGTCGGATTAGCCCCTGTTCACATCAAGCTCGACTTTGAAATCATGTGACTTACAGTGAAGTCGCATGATTTCAAAGTTGGAGGACCCGACGATTTTTAAGTGCGATTTGCAAGACATCTGATACAGATGTCTATGCAAATCGCACCAAAAGTAGTGGATGTACTACTTTTGAAATCGGTGCGGTTCCACTCCAATTGCGGACAATAGGGTGTGACTTGGCATGCGATGTGCAAGTCGCAGGGCATGCAATTCGCATGCCAAGTTGAACCATGTGAACGGGGGTTAAAAGTAGTGCAGGAACTACTTTCAAGTCGTTGCAACTTATTCAGTGCTTCCTATGGGGGTACTGGAGAAAGAGGGGGAGCCAGGAGCACTGGTGGGAGACCAGAGAAGAGGAGGATCGTGGCAGCTCTCTGTAATGGTCTTGCACAGAGCAACCTCGATCCTCTTCTTCTCGGATCCCCCTCCGGCTCTCCTGGCTCCTCCTCTTCATCCAGTGCCCCCATAGGTAAGTATGACATTTTTTTTTATTTTTGTAAAAAAATTTCCTTTAAAAACACTTTAAGCTCTTACCTTTTTACTGGACCTAAATGTGTTCATATTCATTAATTACTGTACAGGATTTCTATAGTACCAGCAATTTACACAGCACTTTACATTTTGTACATCAGTCCCTGCCCCGAAGGAGCTCGCAATCTAAGGTCCCTATCTCACATGCATACACATTCTAGGGTCATTTTAGGCAAGAGCCAAATATCCTGCGGAGCACAGTGGTTAAATGGGTAGCCCTTCTCCCTGGCAGTACTAGGGCCATTGGTTCAAATCCCCACCATGGCACCACCTGCCTGGAGTTTGCATGTTCTCCCTGTGTCTGTGTGGGTTTCCTCCCACACTTCAAATACATGCTGGTAGCAGGGGCGGACTGACAACTCATGGGGCCCCCGGGCAATAGGGGATCATGGGGCCCCTGTGTCCTTGCCCAAACTCAAAAAAGCCTATGAAAAAGGTACCAGAGGCATCTCATGGGGCCCCCTACTGACCTCGGGCAGTGCCCGAGTTTCCAAATGGTCAGTCCGCCCCTGGCTGGTAGGTTAATTGGCTCCTGTCTAAATTGGCCCTAGTATGTGTATGTATGAATGTGAGTTAGGGACCTGTACACCCCTTGAGGGCAGGGACTGATGTAAAGTGCTCTATATATTGAAGGTATTAGATCAGCACCTGTAATTATAATAATAAATGTCTTTGTAGTGTCGGAGGAAACCCATGCAAACTCCATACAGGTAGTGTCCTGGTTGTTATTCCATTCAAGGAGCCCAGTCCTGTAAAACAGACATGCTAACCACTGAGCCACTGTCCTTCTAGCACCTCCATTAGGGTTCGGCACCGGTTCACACCAGAATGAGGTGCGGGAAAGTCCTGATCTGTGCACGTTTCCTATACTGCAGTGGTTCTCAACCTTCCTAATGCCGTGACCCTTTAATACAGTTCCTCATGTTGTGGTGAACCCCAACCATAAAATTATTTACCCAGTAATTATAATTCATGAGTGTCGTTTTACCTCCAATACTGCTGCTTCCAACACAGTAGCTGCTTTCAACACAGTAGCTGCTTTCAACACAGCAGCTGCTCTTTACACATCAGAAATATGTGTTTTTCCGATGGTCTTCTTAGGCAACCCCTGTGAAAGGGGTCGCGACCCACAGGTTGAGAACCACTGCTATACTGCATTCAAAATGCACTGCCTTTGCAATCTGCTGCGGGTGTCAATACATTGTTACATGCAGTGTATTTGTGGGCACCAGATCACATGGTACCCCGGTACCATGTGACTTGGTGCTCTGCATTTTTTAAAAGTAGTGCGTTCCTGTGCGATTTGTACAAACCGTGTTCCGTTGCAATTCTGGTGTGAGCCGACCCTTAAAGTAACATACATTCTGTAGGCTAGAACAAGTTTGTAGCTCGGCCTTGCTACTAATATCACTAGAGAATAATTGGTAATTGGCAGACGAAACCTACGCATGCTATGTTGTGGGCTGCACAAGTGGCACGTACTGACATGAAATCACATGATTGCACACTGCTCTGATTATGTGTGATTAATCACTACTACATGCTAATGCAGCGTACACCATGGGGAGCCATTTATTCCATCTGTTTTCTGACTCTGGTCAATCAGTAGTCATTTTAGTGAGCTGCTGAGGATTGTCCATGTACTTCTATCCTCAGTGCTTGTTTATTTAGAATATTAAAGTGGTTGTAAAGGATCAAAGTTTTTTACCTTCATGTTTTCTATGCATGAAGGTAAAAAATCACCTCTGTACAGCAGGGCCCCCCCCAGCCCCCTCAATACTCACCTAAGCACCCTCTTGATCCAGCGATGTGCACTGGAGTCTCGGCTATCCTGGGACTCCCTCTTCTCATTGGCTGAAACAGCAGCGGGAGCCATTGGCTGTCAATCACAACCAGTAAGCCAATGAGAAGAGAGAGAGGGCAGGCCCGAGCCACGGCTCCTTGTGTGAATGGACACACGAGTAGCGGGTACCCCCATAGCAAGCTGCTTGCTCTGAAGGCACCCGACAGGAGAGAGGGGCCAGTAGAGCCTGTGAAGGACCCGAGAAGAGGAGGATCTGTGCTGTTCTGTGCAAAACCACTGCACACCGCAGGTAAGTATAGACATGTTTGTTATTTAACCAATTGCAGACCGCCCAATACCAGAAATACTGCTACAGGGCGGAAGCGGCGCGCAAAATCATATATATATGTGATTTTGCATTCCGGGTAGGGGGCGCGCACACATCCTACCTGCACCGCCATTTGCAGCCATGGCTGTCAATCACTGGGTCCCAGCCGGTAATTACTCACATGTGCCCCGTGATTTCTGAAGATCTCCAACAGGGAGGAGGACTGTTTTGTTTACTAACAGTCCTCCTCCCTGTCAGCTTGGGCTCAGCCATCCACAGCAGTGCGATTCCAGTGAATCACACACATCCCGCCCCCTAGTAAAACACTCCCAGCACACAGTTAACCCTATGATCGCCCCTCCTGCCCAGTGCCATTATTAGTACAGTGTCATGCTTTTTTTTTTAGCACTGATCACTGTATTGGTGTCACTGGGGATGTCAGTGACAAAAAGTCAGTTCCCCCCCAGTGTCAGAATGTCTGCCGCAGTCCTGCTATAAGTCGCCGATTGCCGCCATTAATATTAAAAATGAACATAATAAAATCCCAGTATATACTGCCATTTGTGAACGCTATAACTTTCACATAAATCAATTAATTTACACATGTTGGGATTTTTTTTTAGCAAAGACATGGAGCAGAATACATTTTGGCCTAAATTTATGACGAAATTAGATTTTTTTAATTTTTTTACTGGACATGTTTAATATCAAAACATGTTTTTTTTCTCAAAATTGTCCGCCTTTTTTTTTTTATAGTGCAAAAATCAAAAACGCACAGGCGATCAAATACCACCAAAAGAAAGCTCAATTCATGGGACATAAATTTCATTTGGGTGCAGCGTTGCATGACCACGCAATTGTCAGTTAAAGTAACGCAGCGCCGTATCGCAAAATATGACCTGGTCAGGAAGGGGGGGGGGGGGGAATCCTCAGGAGGCGAATGGTTAAAAAACAAAGTCTTTAGAATCACTTTAATTTATTTAGAGATGACAAAATAGTTTTCTGATATATTTTGTTATCTGATACTGACCTTCATGCCGGAAACACCAACAGTCTGATTGTCTCTAGCAATGATGGAAAGGGTTTGATTGCAGCTTGTATTGGGCTGTATATAGACACCGTTATAATGACATTTCTAAATATTTAGGTGGGAGATACTGTTAATGATGATGATGGTGTTGATGATGATGATGATGCAGGGGCAGACTGACAACTCATGGGGCCCCCGGCAATAGGGGATCATGGGGCCCCTGTGTCCTTGCCCAAACTCAAAAAAGCCTATGAAAAAGGTACCGGGAGGCATCTCATGGGGCCCCCTACTGACCCCGGGCCCTCGGGCGGTGCCCGAGTTTCCAAATGGTCAGTCCGCCCCTGTGATGATGGGTTCTGTGTATAATTTTCCACTGTGATATCCTTTTCCCCAGGAGCTCTTTTAATCTTCCATAGTATGTGCTGATTTATGAGCTGCATTTAATTAACATGCAATAAGCTGACAATGAACTATGAAGTCATAGAACACACTGGCGTCAATCAGTTTAGTTTATTCATTAACTTTTACAGCAACAAGCTCATTCATAATGTAGAATGACAGGTGATCCCTCCCATCTGTCATTTGCTCCATTGACAAACTGGCTGGATTAAAGCTGAACTGCAGGATAAGTAAACATTGTCTGTATACAAGACTCATGTATTCTTCCCTGAATCTCGGTGCGCTTTGTGTATTTCTTCCAGATCTGTGCAGTAATCCAGTGTGGAACTTTCCCTCTGTGCAGGAGCTTCCTGTAATAAAGACTGGTCACTGCTGCGCTTTCTTCTTGTGCAGAGTGACTGGTCTGGTCTCCGCCCCCTTCCTATAGACAACCTGTAGGGGGGTGGGGCTACTAGACGCCAGTTACTGCTGAAACAACTGATCAACATAATCGATTGTGAAAATAGTTAACTATCTTTATAATCGATTAGTTCACGGGTGTCAAACTGACGGCTCTCCAGCTGTTTCCAAACTACAAGTCCCATGAGGCATTGCAAGATTGACAGTTACAAGCATGACTCCCAAAGGCAGGGGCATGATGGGACTTGTAGTTTCGCAACAGCTGGAGGGCCGCCAGTTTGACACCCCTGGATTAGTTGGTCAGCCGATTAGTTGGCCTGCATACCGAGTGGATTATTTGTTTACATATCAGGAAATACAGTACAGCACACTTAGGCTGGCCACACACTATACAATTTTCTGTCCAATTTCCTTTAGATTTACCTTCAACTATCTAAGTGCAAGGGCTTGCCTGGTTAGATATAATTGAAAGTGTTGTTTAGGTTGGACCTCATATTATATGGTTTTTGGTAAATCTAAAGCTAAATTTTCAAGAAAATTGTATAATGTATGGCCAGCCTAGGGCTCGGTTCACACTGCAGCGACTTGAGATCTGACTTGTGAGACCCCAAATCGCTTGACATGTGAAATCTCATGTTAGCCAATGAGGGCCGTCTTAATTAGCACTGCTGAAGTCTCTCCGACTTTAGAAAAGGTTCCTGTCTATCCGACTTGTGCCCATAGACTTTAATGGAAGTCAGATCCTCATCTATATTGATGCAATTTGGATCCGACGTTACAGGAAGATTACCCAGGCATTCCCTGAAAGTTGCATCAAAGTAGTACTTAAGCCGCCTGCCAAAGTCGCACTGTAAACCGTGCGACTTTCAGGTCGCAGTAGTGTGAACCAAGACCTACAGCTCAATACACCATTCATACATGTCAGTAAGTTCCTGAGATTGATGAATGAATGTGTCGGGAGCAATGCCTTGTGGGACATGTAGTCCTGGGCAGGAGAAGGAAGTGAGTGATGCTAAAAGGAAGAAGTGTTTTTACCTTGTTATAGGGGCACTCTATGCTTTACTATGCAGCTTGTTATAGGGGCACTCCGAAGAGCCAGCAGCACCAGTGGGGGACCCCAGAAGAGGAAAATTGGGGCACCTCTGTGTAAAACCATTACACAGAGCAGGTAAGTATGACTAGTTTGTTTAAGAAAAAGAAAAATCCAATGTTTACTAGGGATGCACTGATACCATTTTTTGGTCGATGACTACGAGCACTGATACTGTTGGTCAAGCACTTGCCAATACCGAGTATCGATACTTTGCGGTGCGATTTGCATCAATACAAAATGTATAGACACAAATTGCACCGCAAAGAGTACATGCGATTTGAACAGGAATGTGATTTCTGTCTAAATCGCATGCAGTTTCCCCACTGCTCCTGTGTGAACCCAGGCTTGTCATAGCCTGAGTTCATATAGGAGCTGTGCTGGAAACCTCCCTGCACCAATCCCATACTGAAAGGAGAGCGGGAGAGAAGGGTGTGTGGGGATGTGTACCTTGGTGTCAGGCCATTAGAGGATGGAGGCAGATGCTCCGGATTCTCAGCTGTAGGAAAAGAGAGAAAGCCACGGGGATTTGAAATCTCTGTGGTTTTCTCTCCTCAACTTGCAGGGATGACAGTACAGGCTAGACAGTTGGTGCTGACCAATCAAAAGACGTCTAGCCCGTACTGTCATCCCTGCAAGGAGAGGAGAGAAAGCCACGGAGAAATCTCCTCTCCAATAGGGAGTCTGGAGCATTGCCATGGCTTTCTCTCCTTTCTCAAACTCACCCATTCAGGTCAATGGGATCTTGCTGTAACCAAGCGTTTGGCTTGCCATTTGGCGCACTAGTTCTAATGAAAAGTCGCCATTGGGTAAAAAAAAAAAGTAGCATTCAGAAGGCGTCAGGATGCTGATGCTTTGCCACCCTCTCTGAAAAGTGATCAAACACAGATCGCTTTTTAGAGACTGCTGCAGTATGTACTCACCTTAGGGAAAATCTCCCTCCCAACTCCCCCATTCCAAAACTAAAATGGGGGGAAAATGTTGACTAGACATACAGTACACATAAAGCCGTATTAAACCTAAAAGCAAACCTTTACTATATTGCAACTTAGCGATTCTTAGATGTGATGGCTGCATTAGTTTCCTTTTTTCTTTTCTTTTCACCTGGTGATCTGGCCAGTAAGTCTGTTGTTTTTCAACAGAGCTAGCTGTTCTGCAGATGTAGCAGTGGACACAAACTATTTACTATCAACAGGGGTGCTTACAACGATCAGCTTTATTTATGTATGTCAAATCTTTACTTCAAAAGAAAAACACAGTTTCCTTTAACTGCTTACAAAGTGTTTGCTGGAGTTTTGCTTCAGTTTGTTAGTGTATTTAAATCTGCTAGTACATTTAACACACCCTTCCCCCCAGACTAACAGTGCTGTTGTCCAAAGGTGCCCCCTGTGCTCCTTCATCCAGAGTGGAGGTACTCTAATACAGGAGGTGTGTTACTGGCCAGATCACCAGGAGAAAACGGGGGGGGGGGGGGGGGGGGGGGGGGGAAGCCAAAGAAAAGAAAAGAAAAAAAAAACTAATACACCCACCACAGCTTATCATTGATAGGCTGCAATGTATTACATTTTTGGTTTTGGGCTTAATTTTGCTTTAACGATCTGACTTTGAAATTGTGCAACTTCACTGTGAAGTCACACGATTTCAAAGTCGGATGTCATTCCAACTTGAAGTGCGACTTGCAAGACATCTGCCTAGATGTCCTGAAGTAGTGTATGCTCTACTTTAGAAATCGATGTGGCTCTGACCAAGTCAGAATTGCACCGATATGACCGCTTTAATGGTGGACAATAGGGTGCGACTTGCCATTCAATTTGCAACTCACATGGCATGGCAAATTGCAACCCTGGGTGTAAAGCACAAATTTAAACTGCCTCTACCAAAAAAAAAAAACTTGCCGATATTTTCACATTCAGCCCTTGTTCACACTGATGCAGTGCGGAATTCGTAGCGTTTTCTGTGTGAATTCTGCACCGCATCAGAATCGCACCCCATTCATGTGAACCGCTGCGGGTGTGTATGTTAAATTAAGAACACCCTGAAAACGGTCCGCAAAACTCAGTGCGATGTGATCCGATAATAGTGCAGACCAAAAAAAGAGTTCCGTAACTTTTTGGTGCTGGTGCAGTGCAATTTGAGCTATACAAAATGTATGTTCCAATCGCACCGCACACAAATTGCATGTGATTTGCAGAGGAATGCGGTGCGGTTCCTGTGCGACTCACATGCGATATGCCGCACCGCAGAAGTGTGAACCTGGGTTTAATCTAGCACACAGCTAGAGTTCGCTGTACATATGCCACATCCTCCATGCCTTGCAGCGCTTCAAATTAAATGCTGCTTATCGACTCTAAAGGGGATTTACTGCCTGTCAAACTCACCCATTCAAGCCAATGGGGTGTTGCTGCAACCAAGCATTTGGCTTGCCATTTGGCGCACTAGTTCCTAGATTGTAAGCTCCAGGATCAGGCCCTTCTAACCCTCTTGTATTGAACTGTATTGTTTCTGTATTGTCTCCCGTTATATTGTAAAGTGCTGAGCAAACTGTTGGCGCTACATAAATCCTGTATAATAATAATAATAATAATAGTTCTAATGAAAAGTCGCCATTTGGTAAAAGATTTTTTTCTTTTTTTCTATTTATTTTTTATAGCATTCAGGAGGTGTTTTCTTTGCGAATTCCACACTGCATCAGAATCACCCCCTGTTCATGCGAACTACTGTGGGTGTGTATGTTACATTAACAACACCCCGAAACGCGGTGCGATGTGCAGAATCAGATCGCAAGGCTGTGAATACCTATGCAATCCAATTCTAGAGCAGTCCAAAAAAAAGGGTCCTGTACCTTTTTGATGCGGGTGCGGTGCAATTAGAGCCATACAAAATGTATGGCTGCAATCGCACCGCACACAAATCACATGTGAATTGCAGAGATATGCGGTGCGGTTCCTGTGCGTATCACATACTATATACCGCACCGCATATATGTGAACCCGGGCTTATTATATCCAAATTGTGAAGTATTCGAAAACTGCATTTTTAAAACAGCATTTTTGTAAACTGCGACTAGCACGGCATTTACATTGTGCCTGTTGATTTTTATGATGGCCGACGTTTCTGAGCACTCCCAGCGTTTTATCTTCTTGTGTAAACCGCTAATTAAATCTGATGTACTGACAAGCTGTGGCGGAGTTCTTTTAATTCACTTTATTTTAAGAACTTTTCAGGTCAGCGTTGATTAGATGTTGTTTTTCCTGGGCGGTAATACGTGATATTTATAGGGTAGTACACCCGTGCCCACCTAGATAACCTGACATATCATGCGTAGCCTTACTAATCCCATTTTTTATTCTACATCTTATTATCTGAACGAATTATTTCAAGCAAAGGAACAGGACACCAGCGATACATTAATGTGAAAGTGATATCACCCCTGCGTACACAGATAACGCCTATGAAA